CCAGACCGGCCCCGGCCGTGGGCACAGCCCGGCCCCGCCACCCCAGGAAGCGTAAATCCCAGCTGGTGATGGCACACAGAGATAGAGCGACCTCAGGGATCTGTCTGAAGTCCATAAAGGAAAACCACTATTTCCTAGAGGAAAACCCCGTCGCTATCAAAGCCTGGAGGAGGCATCCTTCAGCAGCGAACCGGTGCCTGATTCAAAACAGCTGTACCAAAACCACCCCAACTCTCCCAGGCCAGCAATCCAGCTTTGCAAAGGGGATGGGCCCCTGGCTCTGCTGTATCATTTCCGAAAGGCAGCAATGGGTTTGGGTACAAGGGTCACCTCTTGCCTCCAAACACTTGTAGAAAGTACTGAGCCATCGGGCCTCAGCTGGACAGCTGAGAGCAGAGTTTGAGCAAGCGAGCTAGAGAGTCCTGCACATACAACACGTCTCCCAAGCCATTTGTCTCCATCATGGCACTTTTGGCTGGACATAAACGTTTTGGCAGGTATTGTGCCAGCCTCGCCTGTGACACTCTTCTTGTGTTTGAGTCTCCATTTTTGATGGCCTGAAAATCTCCTCCCTTTTAATTTGGCTCAGACAGTCATATTGTCCTTGCCTGGAGGGCTACATTGACCTCCTAAATGGCAAGTTCCTTTCATTATTATATACATGGTTCTAAAACGCAACTGACTCACTCTGATTTACCCTCTGGAGACCTCAGCAAGGGCTTTGTCCTGAAATGGACAGCTTTGTGACTGGTTTCAATAAGTCAAGAGCTCTTGTGTTCCTAAGCATTAAAGAGGATTTAAACTTTTTTATATACATATAGGATTAAGTGAACCTCTAGTTCACTGTCAGATCTTTTTCATTTTTGAAAGAGTTCAATCTCAATCAGACATCTAGGGATTTATTGTCAAGCTTGTATCAAACAATTCCCACATCATCGTTGTTTTATACCATTTCAAATAATAGTCTTGTTTCATTCACATGATTGCACTATGATTTTGGTGTGAGCTAGTGATAGCTGTGAAATCATACTCAGCAGGTAAGCAGTCATTCAAATGTATCTCCAAAAATTACACATGATGAGGAGCAACAACATGTCTCATAATTGTTTCTGTTTCTAGGTATTCTTGAAATAACTGCTGTTGATGTTGGAATCGTTGCCATCAAGGGCTTGTTCTCTGGCAGATACCTGGCCATGAACAAAAGGGGCAGACTTTATGCGTCAGTAAGTTTTACTTAAGACTGGCATGTGCCTGTCATTTCCTATGGGGAGAACTGGTCCAGCGGGGAGCACTGATTTCTTATAAATAAACATTTATAAAGAAAAGCGTAATGTTATAATGGGAATTGTTACAGACAACCAATCAGTATATTTTTAAAAGTGGAAAGAAGCTGTGTTCTTACTTGCTTTTTGCCTGGACAGCCAAAGGCAGAAGAATGTATTTGGCAAAGGTATTTCAGCCAGCCAAGATTCTGGGCAACTGAGTGCACTGATAAAGAACTCAGGAGCCAGCCTTTGCAGCACAGATTGTCCATCTCTAGCCAAAATTATCCATCTTCGTATTTGATGTGGATCTTGGACATTGGCAGATGATACACACATCAGATAAAGAATATTCAGAAGTAATTTAGCATCTCTGTTACAGGAAAGCAGCCTACTGACGGGAGTTTCTTTGCACACAGCATTTGGTTGGGCAGTGAAAGAATGTATAGGTGCTAAAAGGCAGGGCTGTAGCAAGGAAAGGAAGTATGAGAAAGTGCAAGAGGATAAAGGTGAAAATAAACACCTTATTCTACTCCTTGAATCAGTTTTTGTCCTGATCTTTGAGGTAAAATCTGGGCTCTGCTGACATTAGTGGGAGCCTTGCCTTTTCCGCCCAGCCAATATTTCCCCTCGGTGAATAAAATACATTAGCTTAGATGTCTTCACGTTCAGGGGCACACTAAGGCATCTTTATCAGTGTCTATACTATACACATTATCTAGGTACTTGAATTTCTTCCGTTGTCTTTGATTACATCCCTAGCAATCTTGTGATCTCTTACTGTGGATCAGCCATACTGTGCAGGTTCTCCAGGGATCCTGTGGTATGGGAGCAGATCTGAAGAGAGTAAAATGTGAAGTTTGCTTCCACCGACTAGTCATGATACGTAATTCTGTTGATTTGAACAATATGAAATATCCTCGAGGAATGTGAGCTTTTTCCATGTGAGTGCAACCTGGGTAACACAATCAACTCCATTGCCTCCCTGGTTTAACGTATTTTACTCCACCTTTTCAAGAATGTTCTGATAGTGTTTACGACCCAGCTTCTGTAATGTGTCTCATCTGATGCACACTGATTAAAGGGCCTGTGTGTAAAGATGATGGTTCTTTGGTGGTGCAGAGAAGCACATCACAAACAATTTTGGCAAAGGAAAATGCAGCTGAAGTGGCATGAGGATGTACCAGCTCTGCTATGCCAGAGCTAAGGCTGGCCACATCTATGCTTCCAGTTAATATTCTGATTTAAATGGGCATCTTTGTCAATGCAGCTGCTCCACCAGCTCAGAGCCAGTGTCTGCCCCAAATAAATCAATGGGGAGGATGAAATCTCAAGTTCTTTCTCATCTTTCTCTCTTTCCTGTTCAAAACAGATACGTCTTTCCTCCAGATGAATTAAACTGAATTAAAATAAGACTAAACAAATTCTGAGCAAAAAGCTCCCCTCCTAGAGTGGAGAAAAGCCTAGAGTAGGGTAGCCCAGAGAGTCCTTTTCTTCTGGACTTCCCTTTCTAGTGTGAGCAGCATCCGGCCATCCTGAAGTTTGTTCAGCTGTCACGTGCCAAGGAATATCAGCCATGAAAGGTTTCTGTACAACTAGAAAATATAAATTGTGCTACTCCAGCTCAAGTTTGAGAGAGACTGTTTCAGACTTGTGTTCAGAGCTGGAGGGACAATCCAGGAAAAGCTATTCCACTCCAGCTTTTTTCACAGAAGCAGCAAAGGCTGAGGGCTCAGCTCAGGAGAAGCTTCCTGGCCCTGCTTGCCTAGAAAAAAACTAATGACTTCACTGATGTTACTGTGCCTAGAACCTGTGCAAGGCTCCTATTTCAAATAAGACTGACTTCTTTGCAGATAATTATACAGGGAGCACCTTATGAAACGGTATTGGAATAACTCCATTATCCCTTGGATCGCCAATTTTCCCATGTCAATAAAATGAATTTGTTGAGTCTGCAGAATTCCTTTGTGTCCTTAGCAGATTGCGATAATCCTCTGGGTTTATCCTCTGTGACAAACCCTCTACAACCAGAACCGAGGCAGACAGCAGCACGAATCAGCCTACATATGGTAGTTGCATGGGCTCCAGCACCACAGCATATGAAAACCTTGTCCTTGCAAGGAAGGGCACTTCCGTTTTACAGCTGTGATGCTGAGACATGTGGAGTCTTTTAAAATCTTGTTAAATGCCTATCAGCATTTCTGGTGAGTGAACAGCATTAAAGACATGCTGTTAATGGAGTCTATGGCTTTTCTGGCCCCAGCCTGCCTACCCGTGCCCTTTCCAGGTCCACAGAGGCAATGCTAAATAAAAAAAAAAAAAAAAAACCTCTGTAAAAACCATGGTAGCAGTTCACCTCTGCCTCTGTGCTTTACACATGTTAGATACTGAAATCTTAATCACACAGGTACCGCAAAGATGATTTTGTAGTTAAGAAAAGATATACAGTGTGGGAGGTCCTTTATTTGCACCTTTTCCACCGCTCCCAGGGAGGAGGAGGAAGTTCCTCTTGCCAGGCTTTTGCATACTGTTTTCTCTCAGTTGAGGACCAGATGAAAAGGGGCAAATTTTGGCAGATCATGTAAAATGTGAGCACCCAAGATGAGTGCATATTCTCCCTTATGGTTTCTGATAAAGGAGCAGCCTAGCTTTTCGGAGTAACACGCTGGTGGGCGGGGTGTACACTCATTTTGTTATGCTGAAGCAAACAAAGAAGCTTTATAAAGGTGTTGTTTACTGCTCAAATATCTGTAACAAACTGGGTGTAATAGACTGCAGGTGTATGTAACTAATACTACACCAATAAAGAGCCACATTTAACATTAAACTGTAGTATTTTACATTTTTAATAGATGTCAAAGGTTGATAGGCAGCAATTAAATAATCTATCCAGTTCACAGGCATTTTTGGATCCTTAAGCACAAAAAATTTAAATTTACAGCTGAACAAAAAACAGAGCATTCCTGCTTTTTTCTTGCCACACGCGTTGCTGTCCTTATCCTAAAACTGAGTAGAGTCTTTCTTAAGACTTTAGTCCAGTCTTACTGAGGTAGAAGACAGCTATTGCCCATATAGTCTTTCTTAAACTTCGTTATGTTTGCTTTACAGGAAAATTACAATGCAGAGTGTGAGTTTGTGGAGAGGATCCATGAACTGGGTTATAACACCTACGCCTCCCGTCTCTACCGAACTGTGCCGAACAGAGCCGGCACCAAGCGCAAAGCCAGTGCAGAGAGACTCTGGTATGTCTCAATCAATGGGAAAGGACGACCCAGAAGGGGCTTTAAAACTCGCAGGACACAGAAATCGTCTCTCTTTCTGCCCAGAGTATTGGATAACAAAGACCATGAAATGGTCCGACTGTTCCACACAAACGTGAAATATCGAGAGAGTCTCCTGAAGCCTCCGAGCAAGAACCAGCGAAGAAGGAGAGGACGCTGATGGGGATGGGGGGAGCCTGTATGGGGGCTGGAAAAGACTGAGAGTTGTCAAAACACTACTAAAAAAACTAACAGCTGTGATTGTATGACAGGCATTAACACGGACATTTTTTGTACACTGTATAATATAACTGAAAGTCACATCACTTACTTTTAGCTATTGTAGAATTATTATCTGTGGTAAAAGAGATGTGAGATAAACTAAGGCACATTCAAATGTAAATTAGTTGGATGTAATAATTTTGTCAATGAGTTTCACATTTTCTTTTCGGAAAAAAAAAAAAATATATATATATCACTTTCATTACTAGTATTTTCATTCTAACTTGCCATAGGGTATTATCTCAGTGACCCTGTCCTCCCAGAGCATATGAATATTTTACACTTACCAGTTTTGTGTCCACAGAGAAGGTATAGCACTTTCATGGCTCTTTTGGCAGTTCCTCATAAAAAGCTGCATTCCTATTTTTATGGAACACCGGAGTTAGAAAACGGGTTTATTTTTTAACTTACATATATTTATTTTTATTTTATGGTCAGCCAGTATCAGCTATACTTTTTCCTAGACTGTCCAAGAAAGTAAAATTGTAAGCTACTTCAAACATTTCAACAGACCTACACATTACTAGATTATTCTGGAATTTGTTTAATTAAAAACCCAAGACACCTGACCTTGTCATTCAAATAAATGAATGTTGGTAAAGTGGCATCTGCATTGTCCCAGCTTTAGCAATATATAGCTGTTTACCAATTGATGAATCCTCTTCTAAAACAGGACCCAAATATGATGTGAAAGCTGAGTTTATGGTGTGGACGGAACTTGCAATATGGGAAAATTCAGCATTGGGGATGAGAATCTTTATCAGGTACTTTTGTTTACCTAAGTTTTCTACAGGAAGTCCTAGTTCTAGGTTAAATATGTTTTAACTATTTGGGGGAAAAAATAACAGTCACACTGTGCATACAAAAACTGAAGCGACTTGCTAATTTAAGGTGGCTGCTATGTTCTGATTTTCCTTTCTTTTCAAATGCTTGTGATTTTCACAAGGTAGTCCTCAACTGAAAGCTGCAAATCCAGACAGGGTTTAAAGATCCTGAGTTTTGATTCAATCCGTATAAAAATATGTTTCTATATTTTTTTCTACTCTGATTCTGGAAGTTAGCTTTTACAAAGTTGAGGGGAGTCCACATCACAAGTTTAATTTTGAGCAACGATTAAGCTTTAAAAATTTCTCTTGACATTCAGGAGATGACAGAGTAGTACAAAGATTTAGATGTGCTTGACAAGCACAAATAATGGTCATTTCAATGAGATGTGGCCTCGTGCTCTAGAATTAGCCCCTGATACAGCACAGCTGGAGAAAATAGTGACTGCAATGAAATAAACATTCAATCAGAATTTAAGAAAAGATCTGTAAGTTAAATATGACAGTACATAGAAACAGACAGGTGCAAATCCCATTCCCAGCCATACTGACACAAATCTCTTCTTGTGGGCTACCTACTGAATGACAGTGTGATCATGTAAAACTAGGTAGTGAAAATCTTCTGTCACTAAGGGGTGAATTCTGTGAGAGAGAGAAGTAAAATGAGTCTATAGAATCAGTTTGCGAAGCCCAGTAGTTGCAGGTTTAGCACTGCTTACATCCTTATAAATGTAAAAACAGGAAGGTGTCTTTATATCAAAAAGTATGCTGCATTCCTTCCACCTTCTCATCTTTTCTGTAACATTCTAACAAAGACAGAAACTGTGTTTGAATAAGAAAGTCAAAATTCTTTGATTTCTGCTTTCCTTTATACTGAAATAATGTAAAAAGACACTTAAATGATGTACATTAAATAATGCAATGTGGAGCACACAGAATAGACCTAGGTTTAAAAAAGGGTACAGAAAAACAGGGACCATGTTCCCAAATTTTCTTGCTTTTACAAAATAACGGAAAATAGTGATGGGATCTTCACAGAAGTAGTCTGGCGGTATCATGTCAGGAGCCAGTAAAAAAAGCTGTGTGAAGAAGAAACATAGACACCAAAATAGAAACAGAAGAATTTGGATTTTCTGTTTTGTTTATTCTCTTGTGAACCACAGAGGAGTAAAATGAGTCCATAAAAAAGGTGCAAACTACTGCAGAATTCAAGGTGTTTTTTGAAAGTAGGCTGTATCAGTGAAGAAAATTAAGTTTTTCCTCCTGGGCATCAGGGGTGTTTTGGGGACACATTGTTGACTACACCAGCTACCCTAGCTCAGCTCTGTATTTCTCTTCAGCCTACTGGTGGGGGCTCAATAATTGACTGGGCAGGAAAGAGAGGGGCGTAGGGCGTCCTCATGGCTCTTAAGCTTTAAGAACAGAATGCAAGGGAAGGAAAGTGTCAGTAAGCCCAACTGGCAGGGAAAGATCACCTACAGCTGAAGGCTAAGAGAGCCGTTTTTCCCCATGTCTAATTCCTGGGCCATATTTATTTTGGTCGCTTTCAGATCCAACTCACCTCAACTTGTAAGAAAAACAAGATCCATTCTCAGCTATCTCTCCCCTAAAAATTGTTGTTGTAAAGCTAATGACCAATGACTATAGCAGGTATTTTTGATAAAATCCTGATCTTCTAAAGAAAGTGGAGAAACTCCTGTTTCCCATGACACAAAGATGGTATCTTCACAGCAGCTCCAAGTCCATTTCCTATCAAACATTTAGTCTTTACTCTTAGCTTTTCTCAAGGGCAAGTGCTTGTGCTGACTATATCTCTTGCTTTTCTGTCTCTATCAAATTTTCCTCTCATTCATTTCTCCTTCTACTTCTCTTTTGCAGATGGTGAAACTACCTGTCATAATGCAACAGAAGGTAATTACTATAAGCGATAGAGGAATATCATTAATTACAAAACACGTGCTTACTCCTGTCTTTGTTTTGAGCTGTCTTGCATGCTTGTTGTAGGAGTATTGTTTTAACCACCTTCTCATAGGAAATTGCAATGAAGTTTAGCTTAACACATGAATTATATCCTTATTTCAGTTTCAGTTTTCATCCCAACAAAGTCTGAAATACAGACATGGAGAAAAAAAAGGAGGGGGGAAACAAAAGAAAAAATAATTAACTGATTGGACACAATGGCATTCTAACTACTGTAGGTAAGTGATGATTTTCACATCAACCTAAAACAATTTTACTGACATTCTTAGAATTTTTCTTTGCTCAGTCTCATTACAGCAATTCAAAGGAGATGGCTTTGGGATTTGTCTTTTTTTTATCTTTTAAGAAATATTAATGTTCTTGTTGAAATACTTTTCATTACAGACATTCATTACTAAATATACTTTTAGCAACCTTGAATTCCACAGTTCCCAGATACTGACAGGCTGAAATCCTATTCATGATAATTATCCCAGTTGTATCTTCTACCCCATTTTATTTGTTTGGACCAGATCTTTACAGGATACCTTACAAGAGGCAATAGATTTGAGTTACTGTTACTTTCTCCTTAGGATTATAAAGTCAAGATGTGTCTCCTTTTTTAAAAGTTTCTGGAGTGACTTTATAACTTTCCATTGTACAGGTTATTATCAGACTTTTTTCTTTGTTTTGAGGAAGATGTAAATTTTATCCATTTTGGATTGTAGAGTTTCTGCAAACCTCACGTACTCCCAAAGTTCACTCGCGTCCTTAAATTCATCACAAAACAGAAGTCGTAGGAAGGTTCATTCACGGAAGCCAGACCTGGTAAAGAGCTCATCTTCTGCAGCCTTTTGATTATATACCAGGTCAATATTCAATTGTTTTGTGTTTCAGAGTCCATTTCAGGGCAACCATCAGCATTCTGTGGTTACACCTGTGTTAGCATGTAGTGCAGACCTACAGCAACAGATCTGCAGAGCCAAATCTTGGTGCCAAGTAGCCAGTGTCCACACTATGCACATTTTGGGAGTGGGTGGGAGGGTTACTTTGGATGACTTCCAGTCTGGCCCTATGGACTGGGAGCCCTTTGGCAAGTGGAGCGCCCTGAGAGGGTCTCTGGGTTGAGTGTCACCAAGAAGGAATCCCCTTCGCATGTCAGCAAATGTTGACATAACTCCAACTAGGAAGAGACCGTGCTCCAAAGTCTGCTCCTGATTTGAACCGAAAGCCAGTGTAGATGTACCTTATGCGAGATCCCCTCATTCACACCCTGAAACTGTTTCCTTCTGGGGCGGAAACCAGATCTTGAGACCATGACTTCAACCCTCTCCATCCTGGGTGGCAAGTCAGTTGCCAGAGCACAAAACTACCGCTGTTCTCATGCTGGTGCCAGGAGAGCACGGTCACCACGTACTAGTTGCCTGTTCCCAGGCAACCTGCTCTAGGTGGCCCTGCTTGAGGAGAGGGGTTGGGTCAGATGCCCTCCAGAGGTCCCGTCCAACCTCAGCCTTTCTGTGACCCAGTTATTCAATTATTAGTTGTACTGAATTCAAACTGATTATTAGTTTGTCCTCACCTTTGGATATTCAGACTCTTGCTGTGCATTTCAGAGTCCAGCTCCCTATCCCAACCCCTTGGATTTCTCTCCGTTCACAAACTTCATCTGGAACCAAGTACGCTATTCAGTTTTGGATCAGTTATTCTCTAGCCAATTTTAACAGTCTGGTGTACTAGGTATCTCTTCTTTCCCTTAAAATCACCTATTGCACATTCAGTATAGTCGTTCAATTGCCAGATACAAACAAAAATTGAGCGGAAACAAAAGTTGAGCAGCCGATGTGTGTACTTCTAAAATCTGCCTTCTCAGCTTCCTGTCCTGCACCAGCTCTTTCCTGAACTCCACAATTCATTCATCTTCACATTCTGTTTGTCTCCTTCACCTCCTCTCCATCATAAAAGTCTTCCTCTTGATGCCATTTCTAGCAGTGTGTAGAACTCTTTCCTTGCAGTTTTGCACTTTTTGTAAAAAAATAAATATTGTTCTGTAGAAACTGTACAAATTATACAAATATTGTGTTACTTTCCCAGTGACTCATACATTACTTGACTTGGA